CTTTAATTTCTTGCTTCTGTATAACGTATACCTATCTCTAAGGATACCTGTGAAAATGACGGGTGGTAAGCTAGTTTCATAGTTAATCGTAATGAACCGATTCTTTTACGATTTTTTTTTCTGGTGAGACATGTAAAAGTAGTTAGAACGTAGATATTAAATAAAAATCATACTTCAACGGAAATATAGTTCGATAATTTTGAACCCAATAACAACCCACCGCCTTCGCCACAGCAAGGGATATGTGACGTGTGATTGTCAATCGTACGTGCCTAATGAGTAAACATAAAGTGATAGATTCAAGACTAAGGAACGATCTGCAGTCGTTGTGTTCCAGTCAGTGTGTCGAGAAGTTTTAAAAAAGTTTCGGTTAGGGCAAGTAGAGACGATTAAGAAAAAAGAATTAAGTTATTATGAATGTTAGCAATATTATTATAGAATTAAGGGAAAGTACTTGTTTTCCTTTATTCTGATGAAATACCCTTCTTTAGTCATCACGAGTACTTCACGAAGAGATACTGAATTTCTAGAGAGAATATTAAGTATCAGCGAAGATTGTCTGTTAACGCTAAAACTAACGTAACTTTTTTTACACTAATAATAGCAGTTACAAGTCCTTAAATGGTTATTGGTTTGTTCTAATGCTAAGATTGCAAATTCTTTTAAATTAAATTAATTTTGAAAAAATACGTGGCTTCCTATACCCGTCAATTTGACGAATGTCCTTAAATATAGGTATATGAGCTATACATGTATAGCATTATTTGAAAGTTGTTTATCCAACGTAGTCATGCCAATTTCCAAATAAAATTTAGTGCCAAAATCTAATAAGATTATGTTAGTTGAACAGAAATCTCATGGAGCAATTTTTCTTAAATTATTTTGTATAATATGGCGAAATTCAGGCTATGGGAGTTCTTACTGTACTTTGCGCAACAGTTGTGCACCAGAGATCAAATGAAAAAAGACTGCTGAACTCTGATAATTAGTCTCCACTATGAATCACGGCGAATGTCCTGGCTGGTCGCATGGGCGTTTTTTCTTGTTTTCTCCAGTATGTAACGTAAATATGAGCTGGTTTTGATTAGAAAATTTCTCACACAGACATTCATCCCTATCCTTTACCATATTCAACTCAACAATCTAAGGGGCAGTTGTACTTCATCCTAATGCAGTAGCCAACTTTGCGCTAGACATATTTTTAATCTTTAGAAATAATCGTGAAATTGAAGCCAAGAAGATATCGCCATCTTCATTTCTCATTCTCCTTCAAAAATATACGATGTCTGTTGCTCACTATGAAAGTATAAATGCAGTTCCGGATGGAGGAGGAGTTTCTCTTTTAGGATAGCGATATTCATAAGGCGCTATGGAAACTTTGCAGAAAATTAGTGGCCTGTTTCTAGATTATCTTCCATAAAGCGCAGATTAGACAAGCGCAGAGGATGGAATTAAGCACAAATTAGGAAGCGGAAGCTGGCACATCCACTATCCCACATCATCTCTCAGAAAACAGTCTCTAACTTGTTTGACAAGTAAAGCACCTTTCGAAAAGGCGTACAAAATGTGAAATCTGCAACTTCGAAAAGGAAACGCGCATCTAACCTCCTAAAATGACCTGGACTTCGAATAGTGATTTCTTTTTTCGAATTTCGTGATAGCTGTTATAAATATGCTTTCGCAGTAAAGATAGTACGTACTTCAGCCCTTAATTTGCTCGGAATATGATCGCAAATCTATATTCAAAGCTATCGCATCCAATGAAAAACGCCGAAAATACGAGTATTTTTTTAAGTTCGCGTAACCAAATTATATAATTCTTGAATTTGTTAGGAAGTGGAATTCGTTATTAAAAATGTTTTATTCTGAGAAACGAATATGGATGTCACAATTATTTTTTTCGTTCTCCTAAGCTTTTTACCCCCATACGTTAAACGAAGGTACTGAGTTGTTTTTACCTATATGTTTCTCCGCTATGTCAGAATGGCTAGTCAATGACTGAGTAACTAAGGTGATGGAATACTGTACTTTTGCTTTCTGATGAGTCTGCCGATGCATTATACTGTTCAATATTTGGTCCAAAATCATTTCCATCAAGTGACTGGTATTCACGTTTTCTTGCACAAAAAAATATTTCTGGGGGAAAGAGACACGTCCAAGTAAGTAATTTATGCTTTTTGTATTCATTTAAAGTATTAGCAATATCGCAGAGCTGCAGAAACTGAAAGTTCCGAAAAGTTCTCAACATGGGCCGAATGTTTGAGGTAAGGCTCCTTTTTAAATACTTTATTCTTTCTTGTATTTTCTTGTTAGTTCACTTCCATAGATTTGAGACGATAGTCCTAAAGTTATATTTAGTAATATAATTTGGCATTTATTAAGTTACAAGACTCTGAATTACTTTCATATCTAAACAGATAAAGCAGGGATTAAGTTCTGGTTAATGAAATGGTTAGCACTAGCCCCTCTATTCAACATGCTGGATACGAGCCTTTGAGGCATCTATGTTTGCACGATAGCTCTAATTTTGTTTTACTGAATTTATCTTCGTGTCAGTAACGTAACTCTAAAGCTAAAAATAAAATTATGAAAAATAGTTTTTAACTAATTTTGCAACAATAAGACTCTTAATTAGCATTGAAGGTTTTGCTCGTTTTTTACCTTAACTCTGCTTTGCCTAAAGTCTGTATGTAACTTCGCCAGAAATATCGAGCATTATCAGAGCTCTTTTTTAGAACTGAGCCTATGCTCTACAAAGCAAGATTATTTCTGTAGTGCATATCAGTTAATATTTACATTAACATTTAAATTTGAGACAACATTTGAGACATTTGAAAATAACTCGAGATTGAAAAATATTGGTTTATTAAATGCCTTGATTGGATGATTAATGTAAAACACAAAGCTTCAAATTTAAAATAATGGAGAATAATTTCATGCGATCTAATGAAGATATAAATGAATTTCGAATCCAGTCGAATTTCTTTGTTTTCATGAATTCAAAGTAGTGATGATGTTTTCTGTCAGGTGTGCATTAGGTGTTGCTCTACAAGCTCTAGTAGTTCTTTTTTAGTATTCGAAGTACGAGACCGACTAAGTATTTGCCGCACCAGGCACAGCGTTATATTATTTCCAAGTGGACATTGAAGTTTTCGATTATGTTCATTTAGGCATTTAAGTATGTCACCCAAGTAAGCCATTTTTTTGGAACCAGTAATTGTCTTCTAACTTATCTGAATAATACGCAAATACACTGTTAATTCTTCTTTCAACTCAGGAACTATGCACAAAAATCTCCTTCTCGAACGCCACCGAATTTCAGTATGATGAAACAATGATTGATAATGTAATCCCATTTCAGCATATAAAAATTGGAGAAAAAAGTTACTGAAGTAGTCTACTTTTGATGCTATTCATTCACTATTTTTATAGTGTTATTAAATGTGGAATTTAAGTAAATGTCATTAATGACGTAAACTATGTGACATGAGAACTTCTCTATGAATAAAGAAGTGTATTATTTGAATGTCAGGATTTTCGGGTGCAAAAGCCTCTGACCGTTCCTGTCACTGCAGCCATTTCATCAGTACATAAACTTGTAATTTTTCCTTGAAATTGTGCTTGTATTGAAAGTATTCATTGAATACTTGCAGCTAAGCCCTCCGTTATTGTCGCACTGTATTGAGGAAGCTATGCTATCAAAAGTGCCAAGTGCCATTTCACAAACTGCATGTCTTTCCCAGCAATATCTTCGATGATTTAATACTCTTCTTTGGCTCTTGAAATCCTCATACTATCACCAAGAAAAAACACCTGGGACGTGCTAGATAGGCTACTGCAAAATTCTATGAATACCTTTTAATTAACTGATTAGTAGTGATATTTTTTGGCATAATCTTCCATCGCAAGATATAAAAGCTAAATTAGTTTATTCCCCCCGGAATATCAATTTTTGTAGATGCCAGGAAAGGCTTTTTTCATTTACTAAAATCTAATCTTGTTGCAACCATTATTAATCATTTGCGTATTTTCGCAATTGATATATACTAGCTTAGTTTTGTGACTGTAACTCTCTTTTGAGCTGCGGGTAATATTTTTTGCAAAAGACTATGGAAGTTAACAGTTAAAAAGTAGCTTTAACATTAATGAAATAAAAACTGCTTCATCTATAGACTATGTTATTCCATTTCTAGACATAAAATAAAGTTCTACACATAAAATACTGTACTGCAGATTAATTCTTCCCGTACTTTTATAAAAAAAAATAATTCTACAATTAAATATTACCATACACATAAAATACACACAAAATTCACATATACTCAGATCCGTTTTCAAATCCCGATACTGACGAATATATTAGAGGAAAAACATAGTTTAGTTGCTGGAGGTGATCTAACACTTGTGGTATTGTTTCATTTGTTTGTTTAACAACACTGAGATGTTCGTAATTTCTGTCATAAGCACTTTCTCTTCTTAATTTATTACATCAAAACACCTTATGAACTTAATACATTTAAATTATTTTTGTCTATCTGTTTCAAACATAATAATAACATTTCCGATTAAAAATTTAAGCTTGAGTATTTATTCTAATTATTATCACAATTCAAGATAAAAAAAAGGCACATGCGATAAAGTTCGCATCTAATTTAGATGTTCGAAATCTAAACGTTGTAGGGTACCCTAAAATAGGTTTTGGGGCTTTTCTAAGATATGACAATCTCTTACGTAAAGTTAAAAAGGTAAGTTGCTGATTGATTTATTGTTGAATTTTTTAGTGTGGCGTATTTTTTAATTGTAATTTGAAGGCTTAAATGGAAAACAGAAGGAAAGATGTTCCGCACTTAAGCCAACTGGTTTCAGAATGTCTCATTTTTAGTACTTTTCATTGTGACTTAAAAACCACCGCTCTTTTTCCTTACCTTTTCATTTTAGTTTCATTTTATACTGTTTAATGTATAAACACAAAACTAATTCGATTTTCTTTCGATATTTAGCCAGTGACATTGAATGCCAGGCTAAAATGTCCGACAGCTGGCTGATTATCTGTTTGTCGGCCCAATCTGAGGATAATGTGAAGACGCTGACGAAGTACCAACCTGTTCAGGGATCTTGAAAATGTTCCTCTTGTCTCCACGCTTTGCCAGAATCAAGAACTGAGTTTCAAGTTTCAGAAGTAATTCTTTGCCAGGTGTAAGATAAAGTATCTTATTATGAAAATACTGTTCATTTGTTAATTCGTACAGCTTAAAATAAATTGGAGCTTCAATCTTAGTTGCCTGTACCATTAAATTATAGTACTTTAAGAAACTAAGCACTAAATATTTAATAGAATTTAACTACTAGTTTAGTGTTATACCCATTGAGAGACTTATTTTATTATTATAATCTGTTAAGAATTAAGTTATGTGCTTGCTGTATTTAATATTTTCAGCAATTGCTCATATTTAAAGCATTAAAACGCAATATCTTGTATTCTAAGTTTTGCTTCTTTTGAGGGAAAATATTCGTGACATGAGCCTCTTAATTAACAGTTAATGAGAGCAAAGTAATAATATGCAGCATCTGTATTTTTATGTTTGAAATAAAAGTCTGATTAAACTGGGACTGCGCTAGTTTGTTTGACTTGGATTTTGAAAGTCTATAATGTTCTTTTAGCCTTAATTTGCATTTTTGTTAATATAATGAAGCTCAATAGAAAAGAATTTGTTATAATTATTCACTTTGCATATTTAAGAATAAATAATTTTACCTTATATTACTGATTAATCAAAGTATTTATTGCAGTCTTAAATGTCTTATACAAACGTAGATGTGAATATAAAATTTATATCGGTGGTTCATGCGAAATTAGATTAAATTATTTTTGTGCTGTATCGTTTTTGAAATATCCTCCGCATGTGTTAATGTATTATCATATGTTACTTCATTCTTGTATATTTATTAATAATGTTTATTGAAGTACACTAGAACTCAGTTATGTTGAACACTGCCAAAATTCCTCAATGTAACCATTACTCGCTATTGCATTCGATGTATTATTTAATTGTGCAATGTTTTAATTGGGTTTTGCAAGTGATATTAAAAATAATAAATTTCTGATTCATTTTTGATGCATTTTTTGTACCTTATTTTATTATTATATAATGTGCATTTGTAAATAGCATGCTCGATTTTGTGATAATGTTTTTAGCAGTTTTCCCTTTAAATCTGATAAAATGTTTCAAATGTTTATTGACAATCCAATCAAAAAGGTTTTATCTTGTTCGCTTAGCATTTTTTATATAATTCATTCAAACTATTTGTATTTCTGAGATGCTATTATTTTATAATAATATTTTAAAAATAGCTAACATCTAATGCGCTTGACTGCATTCTTCGATGCGTGTAATCGCTTGAAAGAACAAATTTTTATTTTGATTAGTTAGTTCACTTGTTCTTATTTCAAAATAAAATTTTGAAATAAGAGGTTAATAAAATAGTACATCCAAGTTGTTGTCATTCTTCGCACCACAATTGTGACGCGAAGCTTCTTTATTTTGATAAAAATAATTTAGAAGGGAGATATTAATCGAACTTTTAATTTTAAAATATAATATATATGGTGTATGTCTGTGTGTATGGTAATATTAAAAAAAATAGAAATATGTAATTATTGTTGGGAATTTTACTTGATATCTACATAATTTTAATGCAAAACTCTGGCAAAAATTTTGTACTAATCATGATATGAAATCAGGGCTTGAGTAAAATAATAGATTCATGAAAGTGTGAAATCTGATGTAATGGTGAAAAATAAAAGTAAATATGGGAGGTAATTAATAAACTGATCGATTGTTCTTTTGGCAGCCGGGGGGGGGGAAAGAGGAAGATTATGTAATTAATGGTGATGAAAAGACTCTTGAAAAACCTTTTATTTTGTTAATTTTCTCTGCGTTTTTAATAACTGCTTCTCTTGATGTGTATTTACAAATTTTAGTGCTGTATATTTAGTGATGTTGTTTTTGAATGGTACATATTCGCCTGTCGTCTTTATTGATGTAATAAATAACGTTAACCTACTTCACCTTACAGATTTCGCACTGTATTTAAGACCTGAATGTATTTCATTTTGCATGCTGTGGTATTAATGTCGGCTTCATATTCAAAAATATCCTCGAGGAGGGCTGCTCATATGGTCAAACTCACCGGAGACTATTTAGTGATCCCAGAATTTCCCAGTGGGCGAATCTAATATTCACATGTTTTAATAAAAGAAAGTAATCAAATTTTTAATTTTATTCGCACCAAAAAGTAGTCTTTTGTAACAAAGCTAAACGCTTGGGAAATAAAAGTTCCTGCCTCTTGTTGTTGGCCGTTTGTCACTATATTTATTCGATGCAAAGCTGAAAAAATAAAATATGAGACATTAATATATATCATTTTTCGGGGGATTTGTGTGATTAGTTTTACAAAACACTCAAAGGAATCTGTTTTAAGTGAGTCATTTTCTAAGAGAAAGTGCTTGTATTAAAGTTATATATGGGAAAACCTCTTTGGATGCACTCCGTTTCGTCGCCTGCAGTCTAATTCGAGGTGAACTACCAGAGATTTAGGGCCACTGTGTGAGCCTTTATTCTATTTTTGTGTAATTTATTTAACCTGCTAGCTGCTCCAAGTTAAAGAAGCTGAAAAATGAAAATTTCTTCTATGGTTCAAGCCTTGTGCTACGTCTTTTCAGAACGTTTATTTTGGTTTATGTAATTGCGGCAAAACCTCGTCGGCTGTCTGCCCAAGGTGAGGTATGCATTCGTGGAGGACTTTCTAAGGGAAACGGGCTTGTATACACGTTACCATGGGGAAAACCATGAAAACGCTCGTGCAGGGAGCCCACAGGATTTGAACCTCGGACCGAACTAGCAGTGTTCAGCAACTTTACCGCTCGGCCGCTGGTGGGCTGTTTTCAGAAGGCATATATCATTTTTCGGGGGATTTGTGTGATTAGTTTTACAAAACACTCAAAGGAATCTGTTTTAAGTGAGTCATTTTCTAAGAGAAAGTGCTTGTATTAAAGTTATATATGGGAAAACCTCTTTGGATGCACTCCGTTTCGTCGCCTGCAGTCTAATTCGAGGTGAACTACCAGAGATTTAGGGCCACTGTGTGAGCCTTTATTCTATTTTTGTGTAATTTATTTAACCTGCTAGCTGCTCCAAGTTAAAGAAGCTGAAAAATGAAAATTTCTTCTATGGTTCAAGCCTTGTGCTACGTCTTTTCAGAACGTTTATTTTGGTTTATGTAATTGCGGCAAAACCTCGTCGGCTGTCTGCCCAAGGTGAGGTATGCATTCGTGGAGGACTTTCTAAGGGAAACGGGCTTGTATACACGTTACCATGGGGAAAACCATGAAAACGCTCGTGCAGGGAGCCCACAGGATTTGAACCTCGGACCGAACTAGCAGTGTTCAGCAACTTTACCGCTCGGCCGCTGGTGGGCTGTTTTCAGAAGGCATCTCCACTAAGAAAATCATTTTCCTTTATTTTGCTATATACCTGCTTAACTAGTCAGTCGCTTATTTTATTTAATTTTATTGCTCGCAATCAAAAATTTTCTTTCTTCAATTTTCACTCGCTACGGTAGTTCACTTGCATGCATTAAGATAACCTTGTATTAATCTTAAAACTTATTAATGGCTGCTACCATAATTATACACCCGAATCTCCCGATTTTACCGGAGATTTCAGTTTTTCGTCACGTCTTCCGGCCCTCGAGTCAAATTAAATTTATTGAGCAGATTTCATGAACCCCCCCAACTCATAATGATTTTCTATGTAATTTTCCTTACTAAATTTTATTTGATATGAAGTGCCGTAACATACCATAAAATTTCGTAGAGCTTTTTATGAATATTCAATTAGCTTTTAATTAATCTTAATATTTGTCTATTATTTGTTTTACGTCAATGTAACGTAAGATTGCTAAGACTCAGTAGTAACTGTATATTAATTATTCAATTTATTTTCTTCCTGTTTAAAAGTGGTTGATAAACAGCTTTCCTTCCCTACTCAGGATTTTCTCAGTGTAAAAATATGAGAAAATTACAAAATGAAATTAATCGAAGAGCACAAAATTTAGAATTTCTAGTTAAATATTAATGTATTTTACATCAAAATCATGTTATAAATAGTTGATTAACTTGAATCATGGTTCATAAAGTGAATTTAAGTTTGATCTTTGGAGTCCTTTTGAAATTGTACTACGCAAACCTAACAACACAAACCTCCAGGAAATTTCTGTTTTTTATATTTCAAGATTGGTAGCTACAGTGTTATTTATGGCTTAAAACATTATCTGATTTTCATGATTATTATGATTTTCCTCCAAATGTTTACCGATTTGGTACTTTTCCGTTTTGCTGGCGCAGGCGATATAGTCGCCAATAATGGTACAACTGATACCAAACGGAATATCCTCGCTGGTAACCTTTTACGTCTCATTTTCAAAACAAATCGCACCCATTTCTTATCAGATTGATTGTTTCTTTCAATACTGGCATACAATTACATAGACGTTTTACTTGATAGTTCAATTTTATGCCCTAAGGCCAATCGCGGTAATTAAGTCAATTAGGATGCAACCACACCGCTCACCAGAAGGCGAAAATATAGAAAAGTACCTAAAATTCATCAATTCTAACGAGAATGCACTAGCGAAGTAAAACACTGCGGTTTTACATAATTTCTGAGTAAGCTATTCGTACGAATTGAAATAATTCTTGTATTTAAACTTTTATTCCAAATTAAAATTTAACTTGAAATTAATGTAGATAATTATGAGAGAATTATATTTTTGTAGCGTAGTTTACGTGAGATGACATCACTAGGGGTCACGTGATATGAACCGGCGAATCAGGATTTTGAACCATGAAAGCATAGTAAATTAAATTAATGTCTTTTTACAAATTTATTGTCTTTATTTATTGGCTTTTTGCAAACTTTTAAACGATATTAAAATGTTTATGATTTCAAAATAAATTCTTAGAACTAACATTTGTTAATTAAAAAAAAAAAAAAAAAAACTAATCATAGGCTGAAAAATAACAAATAATGATAAAACTTAGCACTAAAAACGGGTGGACTGTTAGTGTAAAAAGCACTAATGGGTGAACTGTATAAAAATAGAACCAACAACTTTATTAAAGGTAATTACTACAT